AACACATTGTCTCAGTCTCTGCTTTCCCTCCTGATCTTTATTTGAGGCAACTAGCAACTGCAGTACGGACTGTATCTCCAGATACATTTCAGAATGCATTAAGAGAGGTCTTTATAAACTTCACTCCTTGGAAGATATCACATACTTCATTGGGTTTTTGTTTGTTTGTTTTCCTCAGTCTCACATCTTGAAGATGATTTTCTATAAGGAGCTTTAGAATCTAGGAATAAGGCTTCTTTTAAGTACAAGTTAATCTATTTGGCAAAGGTGCTGAATTAATCCTCCTGCTGCTATCTTCAAACTATGGCTTCTATGACTTAAGCAAACGTATCTAATGTAGAAGTCAAGAATACCCTAATTTAAGCTAAAACTTTAAAAACCTGGTAGCAAGAAAGGGAGAAAAAAAAATGCATGGGCGGTGGAGGTCAGAGCAGGTTAAGCAGCAAATAGAGCACTGCTAATACGCAAACAAAACTTATACCTCTATCTGGAGAAGCAAGTAATAGAGTTTGATCGAGAAAGTGGAAGGCAACCGAAAATAGCAAGAACAATTTGAAGGTAAAATGATAACAGTCTCTGCAGGTTGTACAACTTACTGGCTCCTTATAAATATATCAACCAACCATAAACAGATCATCTGTGGAACATGCAGAGAAACATTTTAAAATCAGATAGTATCAAGTTTTTCTTAAAGAACAAGTATATTAATACCATAGCTTCTTAGTACCTTTATATATATAATATATATATATGAATACACAGCATTTAGATCAGAACTATGCTGCATGTAGGCCACAGTGTTTGAGGGAACAAATGATTTTTCAAATTACTTTTATCAGCATAATCAGTTAAGTCCACCTACTGAACAGATCCCCTCTAATGTATATAGAAATAATAGAGAGTTTAACAGCACTACAATACAGAAAACAATTTAAATAAGACTACACACTTCTTCTCTATCACTTTCTGTAGTAACTAGACAGATCAATGCAATGGAAAAGGTATTATTACAAAGGCATGATGACAAAAGAACCAGCAGAATAGAAAGGTACTATAAAAGAATGGAAGATTGCTCACCTGTATCAGCAGATTCTAGGTTTGCAGGGGAAAGCTCCACCAGGGAGAGATCTCCAGAAAAAGACCCTTCCCTGATGGCAGTCAGCCCTTAAACGGGTCTAGGAGAGATCACAGAATCACAGAATTGTAGGGGTTGGAAGGGACCTCCAGAGATCATCGAGTCCAACCCCCCATATGCAACCCCCAGATGCAGCCAGGCTCCACCCCTTCTGGTCACACAGCTGAACTGCCTTCACCTGTGCTCCCATGGCTGACTCAGTCCTTTCCCCAGGTGATCAATCAAGGGTTCAGGCCTGACTCAACAGTTCCCATACACTTTCCAATAAACACTTTGAAAGCAGGTGACACAGCCTTCTTGCTTCTCAGAAGCAGCTTTAATGCTTTTCAGTTCAGGTGGCTCTTTTGTGCTGTTCATTACCAGTCCCAGCTGAAGAAGCATATTGACTTCCACCTGATTTTCAGGTTCCTGCTGTACTGTCAGTGTTCAGCACACGCTGAACATTCAAGCCTCACTGTAGCTGATTAATGTTACCAAGCTGGTGAGCTTGAGCAGGAACACCACTATTCTCCCATGCAGCTTTTTAATTCTAGTGGTCTGAATTACGTGCATTAGTATATTGCAGCAAAAGTAGCATTCTATGTAAGGTGATGCAAAGAAAAGCCTTTCAGTTTAGGGGCTAAGGAAGGACTGTCACTAATCTTTCAACGAATAATTTAGGCTTCCTTTGTAGAATCACCTCACGCATTCTGTACATCCATTCTGATCTGCTTTTTGACTTCACAAGACTGGTCTGATTTCACAATTGTTTTTCATGATTTGGTGATAAGAGGCAGAAAGCAGTACTGTTGTTTAACAGCTTTGTTGCTGGACTAATAACCTTTTATTATATTTGCTTAATTGGTAGATAAAGAGATTTGATTGCCATGGTGAAGGCAACGTATTTGTTGACACATAATTTAACATGTATTTTCCCTATAGATAGAGAAAGCAGTGTTTTGTCTTGATGTTCATATTTAGAGAGGATAAATGTCAAGTTTTCAACTCTGACTCTTGAAAAGTTACTCAAAAAAAACTGGCCTAGGAAGAATCTATGAATTTCAGTAGCTTGCTTTCCAGACAAATGTAACTCGCACCATAGCTGGCCTTGACTTGGTTAAGCTGATCCCTGCCAAACAGCTTCTGAAAAAGAAGATCAAGACAGTAACTGTACTTTAAACTGATGGTAACGTCAGGCTGAAAGGCATTTGGGCTTGTAAAGATAGTGAGCTGTAACAGGAAGAGCTGCCAAGTCTCATGAAACTTTTTCCTTCTATCTTACATGCCATTTTGACGAAAGTTAGGCCTAAGGAAAACAGTCCTTCCCTCAGATTATCTTATTTGTACCTAAGAATAATTAAAATATAAAAGCAAGAAATGAGAACGTAGCCTTACAAACATAGACCATGACAGATCTACCCAAAGAATTTCTGAAGAGAAAAAAAAAAAAAAAAGTCACCTAGATTTATGCTGATTTAGTAACAATTCCAAAAGGAACTAACACAGACTATACAAAAAAGGGTAAAAAATAAAAATTGAAGTAAATAATACAGTAAGAAGGCCACAGTGCCTGAACTGGATTGTAGCCAATCTATATTTAACAGTGATAGTTTGAACTTCTGTCCTACAAAAAAGTAGAAATCATCAAATATAGAGAAGAATCAGACTAACGCTCATATAAGAAGCGGAATCCAAATACAGTTCAAAAGCTATAACCAGGAGACATCAAATGGTAAGAACTACTTGATGTAGAAATAGCTGAGAAAAACACAAGACTGAAGAAAGGAAGAAAAAAAAAAAGTCATGAAGCAATGAAGCACCACAAGTGCTATGTCATCAGTCATCAGTATGTCATCCAGTCATCAGTAAGAATATGGCACACATGTGAGCATCTGACCTATCTCTAGCTCCATTCATTGTGTAATGGCACAGGTACTGCCACCCTCAGCAGCAGCCATCTGAAAATGCACTCTTCCAGCAATAGATGCGGACATGCAGCTGCCAACTGAGAAGACTTCACCATATAATAGTCTTACCACTATATATATTATGCTGCTGTAAGGAGGAAATCTTCCTCAGCTAACTGATAAAAGTTCCCTGCACACCCACACAGGAGCACAAAAAGATGAAAGCAGTGGAGAAAGCCCAAATAATTCCTGCTTGCTCCCAGTCCCACCCAAGGAGCCATCAGCCTCCCTTCCCGGAACCAGAGGAGGGCAGGGGCATAAAGGTGAGTGGAAGCCCAAATTAAGGGCACCATGAGCCATGGGAACTGCAGCAGGAGTATCTCTCATTATGGGATGCAGAGGAAGAGGAGGCATGAGATTCACTACAGATCATTAGGAAGAGCAACCAGTATCAGGCAAATATGACAGCATCCAAGTCTCCTGTTTCCTGGAAGTGTGCTTAGGCTGCCTAATTTTCCACTCAGACAAATAATCCTCAGAAGAGTTCTATCTGATCAGGATTTTTATTAGAATAAGCAAACCACCTAATTTAGATGGCACGTCTGAGAGGCTTACAAGAATAAGGCAGTTCTAGGAAGCTTAAGCATTTGTTAAATCAGTGTGGATTTAACCTGTTATACTTAACTCACTTTGGTAAAAACTAGCCAGCCCCTGAAGCCAGAGATTGTTTTCATAGTATAAGCTGTTTCTATGCCTTTTCAGGGTGATAAATGCAGTTTCCTTTTAAATCAGTGATGCTGTCACTCAGAGGGGGCTGGAGATTTTTTTGTTCTGGTATTGGTCTTCTGTTTCTTTCAATATTGCTTATTCTGTAACACTTTATTAAAAAAATAATAATCTCAAGACTTAATAGAATACTCAGTTATTTTAAATTACCACACAACAGTGCTACTTTGCTACTATTAGCCTTGCATTCCCTGGACTTTGCTTGACATACCAGACTGACAACTGAAATTAAAGCACTGAAGCAGCAAGAGACTCTGATCATCTTTGTCACTCAATAGCATTTGTATTCACACATTGTGACCATTACCTGTTCTGTTCTTGCTCAGAACTGATGCAGGGCGAAATTTATGTTTGCAAATAAACTTCATCGGTGTTGATTATACTCACAAAACTTACATATGAATTAAGCACAAAGGTAGTCAGGATATAAACTTGGCTTCCACACGTGCTGAAGAAAAGGAAGAAACAATAAAACATAAAGGGTAACAAATGATGAGGACCTCTGTAGAGAATCTGAGTTACAGCACATCTGGACATATGAGTTAGTTTGATTTGTGCATGCACTCTGAACTACGTCTGTAAGAGCTACGTAGTCCTAGAAAAAAAGACTGATCAGCATTGAGATGGCTAGAGTGATGGTGACAGAGAAGACCCTTTGAATTTCGGGCTATACACCACACCACTCATTTCTCTCCCAGAACTTCCGCCGGTCCTCCCATTGTTCATTCTGTGTTCCCTCCTCACACTTTATTTTTCAAAGCTAGAATTGATTAGAGAGCAATGGGAAAACATGCAAAAACAAACCCCTTGCTCTCACTCAGAGATGAAGTGCTTACCAGAAGCACTTGTTTAGAGCAGAGATTCAAGGCTCAACAGCCCAAATCAAGGGACAACAGAAAGAAGGCAGAAACCCCCCAATTTGATAAACTCGTTTTCACTGGTCAATACCATAATATCTAAATCCATATTTTTAGTTCAGTGACCCTCAAATGTTCACTTCAAATATACTGAAATTTTCCTATGGGATGACAAGACCACGGGCAGCAAACCTACTGACAGTAGATCAGTCCTTTAAATTACTTCTGGTTTCTTCAGAAGCAGCCCACAGTCCTCAGGGAGAAAGCCATTAATTTTCTATTTTTGACACTGCAAAGACCTCCAGTCACCTCAAAACTTTATTCCACAAGCTTCAGTAGGGTCTTGCAAAACATACTTTATTTTCAAAGAGCACAGCACACACAGTAAACCAAGAAGTATCCCTTCACATTTACTGGTAAAGCAGTTGGCTTTTTTTAACTTTTAAACTTAAACTTAACCAACTTGGTTTTTTTTTTAACCAATCATAGCAGTTCACTTGGCTGTATTACAGTGATTTTTCAGGGACTACTCAGCAATTCACAGCAAAAACATTAGTTCCACATTTCAACCGAAGTCTGTAATAGAAAACCCAACATTATACTAAGAAAAAGAAATCAGCAAAAATCCCACCTGAACAAATAACCCAACGAGAAGAACTACTGAATGGGTAAAAGGCCTGTGTTCATTTCCCAAGTGATGAAATATAATAAAAATGCTAAATTAAGTACTTAAAACTACTAAACAGCCAGAATTGTTGTAGACCAAGGCTGTTTTTCAGTCTCAAAACCATATGGATGGATGTGTTTTTCTTTCATTTACTGGAAATAAAAATCATGCTGTGTCAGCATACAGACAGCTAAATAAAACAAGGGGTTTAAAGTTAAATACATGTTAAAAAAAAAAATCTACAGAGAAAAAAGACATTCCTGCAAAACACTAAGTCTTCCTACAAGGTTTGCTGATAAAATAAAGCTACCAGTTTACAGAAGAAGAATTTGTGAGAGCACATAATCAAAACTGTAAGACATTATGAAAAATAAAAACAAATGCTGAAATAAGAGGAAGAAATAAAAAAACAGAACAAAGAAAGAGCCAACTAATAAAGTCTTCTTAAGTTAAGGATACGAGGATGAATAAAGATTAACCAACAAAAAAAAAATACCAAGATTCATTTTTACAGCTTTCACACACAGGAGTAATTTTTTAACAATTAAATATAGAAGCCACATTTTTAATCAAGAATTCCAGAATTCTTCTGGCAGAAATGAGCTATTTCTGCAGGGGAGAGGGGGGGGGGAACAGGTTGCAGCTACATCATAAATCTAGACATATGCAAACTGCAAACTTAGGAAAAGAAAAATAACTTAAATCAGAATTTATTGTCATTAAATCCGATGTTAGAGTGCCCTCTTGAATCATGTATTCGAAAGAATCATGTTTCCTTGAATAATGCTTCAGTATTTGCAAACCATAATAAAAATAAACTACAGAAGTCTGAGGTAATCAATGAGAAATCCCTGTTCCAATCAAGCCTAATGGCATCAGACTCACTTCTGACTCTCATTTCCCCACAGCTCATTCTTAATACGAATGCACAAATCCAATGAGTAATACACAGATATATGATGCTAGTCTGTCAGACTGCTTTTGGAATGGTTCAAAGTGCCATACTCTGCCTATAGATACCCTTCCTCTCTTCACCCCGCAGTACAAAACATAGAACATGAAAAGATGTTACCTATGCCTACTTCCTCTTCAGATCTCTTAATGGTATTGCAATGGTGGTAACATTTTTTTAAAGTACGTTCAGATGAGAAATGTCTTAAAAACAATACCAGTGCAGAATGTAGGTGATCTCTGGTGCCTCATGAGACACATCCTTTATTAAAGTTAAAAGACTTTCCCTAAGCCTGGGCCCTGGAAGTGTTTTCCCCACACATAATACTCATTCCCCTACCCTTCTGAAATGAAGCACTGTATTATAAATTTGATTTTGCATCTCCTTACCTGGCTACAATTCATGAGTCACAAATAAACAGCAATGCAGAGATGGAGGATGAGCTTCCTTGGAGCAGTATTAGATTAAATGACAGCATATTATCACACTCCAGAGGGTAAGTCAAGAACTTGAAAACACCTAGTAATACAGAAATGCCTAAAGCTCATCAAACAAATACACAGATCTGGACAAGCTTGGTTGAGACTGGAGTAGCCATACTGACTGTGCAACATACACCAAGCAATGTGCATATCAGATGGCTCTCTCGTAATCAAACCACTGCCCGAAGAACTATGATTTATTTTCACACAGATCAAATTCTACTGAACTTCAGTAAAGCATTACTCATTTGGCAATGCAGCAACATTTCTTCTCTGCTAAGATACATCAAGGGACAAGTAGCTCCCAAAACTCAGGTGATTCTACTAGAAAACAATCAAAGATAAAACAATTGTTTTTGTTTTTTTTCTGTGCATCTGAATTACCTTAATTTTGAACAGCAGTATGCATAGCTTGGGGGTTTCCTTCTTGTGGCTTTAGTCTGGCACTATAATTTGATTAAGCCTGTTCTCAAAGGCTTTTTTAGTTTTCAAAAGTAACAAGTTGGTACTTTGAAGCAGCACATCAATGAAATCATAATTATCTGAGCAATTGGAAGTGTAGCAATATAATTCATACAGTGAAAACTGAAGCCATGGTTATGCTCGTTTGATACCTTACTCGATTAAATACTAGTAAGTGATTGTGAAAACTGAAAATGACATAAAAAGAAAATGCTTTCTCAGTTCCCTGTATAAACAGAACAATTCACTTTGTTTTGCACTTCAGGCATGAAAACAAGAAATGCACTGCATTCCTTAATATAATAAGGAATAAAAACCCTATAGACCACTGCTTATCTCAGTGTAGATCCTTAACAAAAGGTGTATGTCCAGAGTAAGAAATAGGCCTCTGCTTTGCTTTAAAAGCTATCATAAATTCCTCCTTGCCTTGAGAACAGCACTTAATGTTCTTGAAGCTCAGGCCACCACATCATTAATTCTACCTCACTCTCTTCAACAAGTATTTCTGGAGCAGTAGATGATAACTAAGAAGTCCACACCACAGTCTTTAAAGGCAGAACTGGGAAAATCAGATTAATGTGTTAACAGGCAAGTAAATTATAATACAATAGACAAATACATAGCCAAACACAAGGGAAAATATATCTGCTTCATTCCAGGCAATCTAACATGAGTAAATGTCAGTGAAAGCAAGTAGCAGAAAGATGGGTCAAAGCAAAGCATGACAGATGAGACAAACCTTACTTTATCAAAATCTTTTGCTTCTTCCTCTTTACAAATAGTCAGGGAAGGACTCCCGGCTTGGTAAGCTAACATCCCTTCTGTATAGTCTACTTTAGTAGAAACAGTTTCAGACATCCTTTGAGATTGTAGTTTTAAGGCCATTAAATGGATATTAAACATAGACATTTTAGATAAGCCACTATACCCAGTCATATCACTGTAATACTTACATCTCTTAAATAACATTGAAAGGGTTTAGCGTAGTTTAACAAGATCTATGTGACACTGTAGTGAAATGCTGTAAAGGTTGGTTCACCAGTAATAAGTATTCATCAAGAGATAGTCTTGATGTTCACAGCTGCACTTGACCATATGCAAGACTGCAATCATCCTTTCCATTGCAGGCTCTAGCACATACATTTGCTCCCTTCTTCTTTTTGTGTACATGAGATTCTACTGTACCATTTATTTTCAAGTCACATACTGTAAGCCCAAGAAATACACCTTTTCAACTGCTAATGAAACATCGCTTTTTGTTGGCATTTTGTTGACCCAAAAAAAGTGTCTGGTCAGGTGACAAATTCCTAACTTGTTCCAGCTTAGTTCTACAGATAGTTCACATACAGAGGTCTGACAAACTTACATGGACACTACATAGCAAAGTCTCCCTCCTCAGAGATATTCAGAAGCTGACTGACACGACCATGGGCAACCGACTAGCCAGCCTTGCTTGAGGAGGATTGAACTAAATTATCTTTGGAAGCCCCTTGCAGCCATTCTGTTGTTTTATAATGGGGCCAAGGCAGGCTACTATTTTATTTTCACTTATTGTTAATTGGAGAAGATGGTCAAACTTTACTCAAGAACCAAAAGAAAGGTAAAGTAAGCAGAATGTTACAAAACAGACAAGAGTTGCAACCATGTTAGAAAAGGACAACCTTAAAGCAGTGATAGCTCCCCACTGCAAATCAGAGACCTTAGGACAAAATCAGGGTCATCTGCGAAGACCTATGCCAGCAAGAGCTCATTCCTGCAGTTTTATCTCCATAGAAATAAAGATGCACAATCAGAATGAAGGGATGCAATTCTGTTAACAAATGTACTCATTATATTTGCTTGTTGTGTCGTATCCCATTTAAAAACACACATTTATGACTGAAGTGCAAAATACCAGCCTCTCCACACTCAGTTTGCATCGGTTTGATGTATGATGTATATTGATTATGCTTGTTTAGCTTAACTAATGAAGACATTTGGGAACTACGGCTCATTTGAGAAGCTAATGGCATACCACCCCCAAAAACAGTAGCAAACGTTACATAAGATCAAAAAGAACACACATTTTAGGTTAGCCAATTCAAGTATTTGAACTTACGAGTTCCCCTTAACATTACTGTACCTTGTTTTACTCCATTTTCCATATCACAGTTATTGATTTCTGTAACGATTTCTCATTCTTTTATCAACCACATTACATCCTTAAACTATACCTTTCTATGTTTTCAAATAATCAGTGTACTCCCCATCATTTTAGAGAATATAGCCCTCCATACCCTGAGGTATATTTTGCGTTACACTTATCATGGAACAAATGAAGTCAAAGCTGAAAATTTCAGTACATAAACACACTGGATGTTCAAGATTCTCTTTCTGGTGTAGTTTTCAAGTTTCTTGCTTCAAATCCTCCAGAATATTTCAAATCATAGGCCCATACAGTGTCTACTCCCTCTCCAGTTGTAAGATCTGGGATCCAGCAGGGGAATGGAAAACGACAAGCTATGATTCTGGCATTACATTCAAGTTCTTCTTTGAGTTTCTTCTCCAACTCCGGCATCTGTGGAGCAGCAATAGAATACTTTAAGAAACAGTATAAACCAGTAGCATTTTCTAATTCAAGTGTCTAAGACAAGCCCAGGGATTGCGATTTTGAGGAAAAAAAAAAACACATTAGGAAAAAAAAACAACCACAAACAAGAAGAAAATACTAGCAAATTCTAATTCATTATTTTCTTCATTCATGATTCTTCTCTGTAGAGCATGAGAGTTTAGCACCCTGACTTTATACTATTTGTAACACCTAAGCTGCATAAACTGTTGTGTGATACTCAAAAGCCAACACCTCTCACGATTCCCTGTCTAACCTCAAATCAGTTCTTGGGACACTCAAAATACGTTTGGTCAGCAATCCTAAGCAAGTTCTCTGCCGGCATCACACAGTAAAGTACTGCTGTGTTAAACAGCTCTGAAATTGAACTTTGTTTCCCCCTGCCTATTAACACACTGACATGAGCATCTTCAGCAGTACTGCATGGAACATCATATGCTTTGGCTAAAGAGCTGCTTAGTACAGCTTTCTTCCACTGGCTTTTGAATCAGCCCAATTTTGTAAGGGGATATATCATTACTCCTTCAGAGCAGAGCAACACTGCCCAAATATTTTATCTTAAATATGCCAGAAATTCCATTACGGACTGGAGAGATGTATTAACACATTTAGACTTCAAAAGAATTTCTTTCCAACCTCAGAGAGATATTTTAATCATAAGGGGAAGAAAAAGAAACCCACTTTACAGATCTATCTTTTCTCTCCTTTAGAAGAGTCTGATGTTATGCTTAAGTAGATCACTACATATCAGTTTGAAATTCCTTTCTACAAACACTATCTATTATAGCAAGTAATTACAGCAGCAAGCTCCAGAATTAAAATCTATTCATGTTGATCTTTGATATGCTTTGATATAATGGCATAGCATTTAGCTATTAAAAAGGTTAAAAGGACAGAAACTACTGACAAATACAGTTCAATTTAAGTCAGGAAGGACACAAGATAAAACCAAAACAAACAGAACATTTTTTTTTTTCTTCAGTTTGTGTTGTTTTCTAATATTTCCAAAAGCTGAAGCTGACTTCCATTATCATACACTTGTAAGTTGTACATTTTTGATGCAGCCTCCCACTATAGCTAGGTTTAGATTACAACTAAATATTTTAGTAAAATTATTCAGAGGTAACTCATTGGTACATCAGATGTATGAAGCACTGCCTGCTCTGATTTTGTCCATATAGCAAATGCTTTTAAACATTTTTGCTACTATATCTTAAATAAACGAGAAAAGCAAGCCCAATTTAATCTCTCAAACTGAGCTAACACACCAGAAAAGGAAGGACTAAGTTGGTATAGCCATTACAATAGGTTACGAATGTGGACCTGGTCCAACAATTAACTCTGAAAGACAGTGACATCTCATGTCTCAAATTAGAAAACTTCATTAATACTTCAGCCAAAAAGAATCATATCTTTGAGGCAAAGTAGCGTTAAGATAAAACGCACAGTAATTTTAGATGCTATCATCATATTTTATTTGGTATCAATATGATTTTATTGCTTTTTAAAATGTCTACATAGATATACAGTTCATTAAAAGCTTTTGTATAGTATACATACAGTTAAAATTCAACAGAAGTTGTGAACATGAACACCTGGTAAAAATTCTGTCATCCCATCCCAAACAAATAAGTCTCTTTGCAATGACTCACTGAAAAACATCATCTTCCCCCAGATGATTGTAAGACCAGAGAGGTCTCACAGTTTTCCCTGAAGATCAATACATCCCAGCTCTGTTAGCTGATCTTGGATGTAAAATAAAAGCACAGTGTGACAGCATCAAATCAGACCATTGTTACTATAAAAGCTAAAAGACATCTACTGCCTTCAGTAAAAAAAAGAAAAAATGCATTAGTTTCTACAAAATCAATTTAGGCATTCAGAAGGCTAAGCATTCACAACTTGAGAAGTAAATTTAAAAAGGAACAAGGGAATTAATTGTGAGGAAACACAGTAGTTTGTATGTTTGGGTCTGTTACATTTCTGACTGGATTTTTATTGGAAGTATTCAGCCTGGTATTTACTGAATGTTATTCTGAGACTTATAGCTACTCTTTCCACCATATCAGTTACTAACTTACCCCCATTTTATACAATTACTTTAAAAATTCAGCCAGTATTTCCAGGGTATTTGTTTACTTCTAGTTTACGGAAATAGCTTTCTTCATCTGCACTTCTGCCCTTGGTGCAAATGCAGAATTTCTGACTCCAGATTCCAATCTTCACACTGCCCCCTCCTGGAACTCAAGCTAGAGAACACGCAACATTCAACCCTGGAAACATCTATAGCACAAGCACTGTATTAGTTCTCACTAAAGCATCACTAGAGAAAAATAATAAAGTAAAAAGTAGTGCATTTTCTCTTTGGTTTTCAACGTGATTTTAGGCACGAATGTGAAGTAGGCATTTAATTCCAATACTGCAAAGAACAAGCAAACTGCAGGGAAACATCCCTATGCTTCTCGGCACACACCTCCCTATTGCTACCCCAGCAATACTATCAGTGTATGATGCAGCATGGCATCACGTAGAGCTCTGCAGCCATTTCATTCCACACCTGCCCCAGCAGAAGAAGGAGCAATACAGAAGCATCTATAGGATATTTCAATTTAATTTCCATGTGCTCATTCAACCTACATAGAAAACACTGATTAAAAAAAAAAAAAATAGCAAATCTTAAGATTTTTTTTTTCTCTATTCTAGTAAAAACAGAAAAATAAGAACTAGATGAAGCTGAAAGCAAAAGAAAACTCTGACTGATCTAACACAGCAAGTAAACAGCATCTATGCAACAATATCTCAGCAATCTTGAATAACCCATTTTCACCAGAGGCGTGTGAGGATCAACACAAGCTACAAAGCTCTCCTAAAAAGAATACGCGCCTTTACGCATACTACACTTGAAGTATCTGCCTCTCTTTCTAAATCCTCACCATCTAACACGAGCAAGGGATTATTTCAGTACACTAGCTGCTGGCCTGATTGGAGGTGAAAGCATTTTTGGATAACACAATGGAAGTTCAACACTGCAAGTAACAAGTTCACAGAAAGCAGCTGTAAACAGTTTGCAGGGAGATCGAGCAGAGAACATCCCATTTCTTTCCAGTGTGAAAAACTGAAATTTTGAAGAACCAATCTATCACCTTCTCAAAGCAACTTCAGCACAACAGTTTTCATTTTACTTCTGACCTTGACTAACGGATAGCAAAGACACCAAAAACAACCCCAGCCTGTATATTGCCACAAGTTTTATCAGGTTTTATCACAAACATAAACAACCGGAAATACCTAGATATTAGTACTACCTTTGATGTTTCGTAGGTTAATTTCTTTTGCAGATGAACTGGTTTTGAAGCATTTAAACAACGCAAAATTGGTAAACTTACCATTTGAGGTACCCCAAAAACAACAACATTTGTATAACGTGAAAAAGAAACCTAGAAAAAAAATAACAAATCTTAAAAATATATATGAAAAACAAACAAACAAAAAAAACCACACCATTTATAATTTCAAAAGTTCTCATCATTCTTCTAGTGTAAGCCCTCTAACTACAGTCCTTTTAACAGGAACTCAGTTCAAAAAATACCAAGAATTGAAATCAACTTCACATGAATTTTCATATACAGACCACTTTAAAATGCTGTGAACTAGACAACTACAGCCTGGTCAAGAATGTGGCATCAGTTCCAGGAGGACAAGAAAATCCTTGTGGAACTTCACTCACTGCTAAGTTCTGCCAGAACTCCTATTTATATTGAGGTCTGTTATGTTTATGCTAGATGTTAGCTAGAAATTGAAGTTTCCAATTTCAGTGCCTGGGTTCTTCTCACCAGCACCCAGTTTTCCAACACTCCTTACTTGAACAGAGATAAAAAGAGTACATTCGCACTTGTTCACCAAATTCCTTGCATTCACTTTACCAATTATGAAATACCACTTGAAGACTGATAGGAATAGCTGGAGAGAGACAAATACAACAGCAAAAAAATTTAACTGAAGAAGCGATTTTGATTGGAATGACTGAACACTGCAAAAAAATTCTCAGTTGCACTTTAAGTGTTGCTTAAAGCAACACTTGAAATGACATAACACACTGCATAAAAGAACACGCACCTAAGGAAATATCAAATTAAGCTTGTGTGTTACTGACTCAACAGAAAGGGGTCTCAGGGAAGCTTGATTTTACAGCAGCCTCCATCACTCAACATAGGAGTACAACACAGTATGCTCAAAGAGCATAGTGTGCAAGTGCAGCAAGACACTGAAGCACAAAAGCAGCAAAGCAGCGTGCTGTGTGGTGACCTTTGCCTCTACAGTTGAAGCACTCTTCCCAAAGTCCAGTACAGCAACCTGTGGTCAGACAGCATTCTAGCTCTTTCAAGAAAGTAACCTTCAAATCAAGTAAATCTCTCAGACATTCCAGATTCATTCTTAGCTTCTTCACCACCTACCTTCCATAGATCTGAAATATAAAACTTGGCGTTGTGATGTACCCCATCCCTCCAGGCACGGTATCTGGAGTACCAGACTAACCAGGGATTTAACTCATAACCAACAGCTTCAAATCCCCTTTTTGCAGCTGCTATCACCTACAAAGAAGAAAAGAAACCTTCACTTAGAAACAGAGGAAGTGCTCAAAAGTACATTCACCTCAACACATAAGAGAAAGGAGACTTATTTATAATGCAAAGCAAAGGAATGCACTTCAGTAAGTAATCAGATCTTATTTCCTAAGAGATTATTAGTATAGCAACCAAAAATTCAAACTGTATTTTACTATTGTGACAAGTTCCATTGAAACTGATATTGATACAAAAAAAAAAAAAATAAATCACTTAAACATCACAGGACAAAGCTGCAAGCTTCTTGTACATCTATGATTTACACCAAAGTTAAACTTAACATATTCATGATACCATCTTTGATCTAAAGAGTACTAAAACTGACCATGGAGGCAGTGTAACACACAGGCAGATGTGCTCAGAGCATTTAACCTTGTTGAGAAGCAGTGACAGGCAGGCATTTGATAGGTAATTTTGGATTTCAAGCTGTCATCTTTCAATAGAAGGACTCTAAGTATGCTCTTTTGAATTAAATCTTGACTCAAAACTGTTAAGCTGTATAGCAAACACCTTCAAAAACAGATCAAAACTTGCTGATTTTACAGTTTTGTTTTTTTAGGGTAAATACTAACCAAAAAGGCACTAGTTCTTAGAAACATCAAAAAACTGGATTCAGTCATAATTTAAAAGCTTACTGCCAAGCTCTAATCACGAAAAGCCTGATTTATTATAAATTACAGAAGAGACAAGGTGGAGTCAGGAAGAAATGCAAGTTTTTTCACACAATATCCCATACGTTGTCTGCACATCATGCTATTAAAATTATTCTTCTTCCATCATGCACACCAATTTGCAAGCATACAGAAACATTTTTACCATGCTTAAAATAAAGATATGGTCACATTTATCCACATACAACATGAGTGAGTGCTAAATACCTAAGAATATATGACCAGAAGCTCAACTTTGTTCAACACAGCTGCACTAAGGCAATACCTAGCATCCAGCTTTAGGCACCTGGCCCTCCAAGCGGTCTTCAGTTTCCATTTAGGTAATGATGTGCATACACACATTTTAATACACACGCACACACACAAATCAGATGCTCAGGTACTATATACATTCACACATATACATTCAAATTAAGTGCATCACATGAGGGTTAAAAGCCAGAATACTGACTAGAAAGGACATCAAGAATTGCAATCCTCTTGCACCAATGTGCTTTTTCCTGTTTCTCACAAAGGCCCAAATCCTTCACAGATTCTGATTTCCAAATCAAACTTTGCATACAGACAAATAGTTGAACAATTCACATGAAATATGGACAAAGATAGCATTCAAGAACTATCTTTTTTTTTTTTTTTTTCTCTCTTTTTACCATACCCGTTTTGAAAAGGGGCAGCCAGCACAGCACGAAGATGTGAAGCCTGTAGCTTTAATGACACCATGACATTTCCATTTTTCAATCCATCATTCATTTCTTGTTCTCTTTTGTTGTGCTATCACTTCTATATAGTAAAGGCAGAGCTGCATTTCCAAAAGAAGAGGGCTGTTTAAGCTCATAGACACTCACAGTACAGCTATAAACCTACACAGAATACAACTTCCGGGGAAACACAGTGCCAATACTTTAATTATATCTTTTTATGTGAACAGCGTAATTCCTTCCAAGGAACAGGATAACGTTATGATTCTGAACACCACTTTGTCAAGCTGAGGGTAAGAAAGGAACAGAACTATTGATCGCTCACCCAAACTGAACGTAAACCATTCTTGGGTTTGCAGCTTTGCATGGGACTCAGAAACAGTGGATGCCAGGGACAAAATATTCATAAAATAGGAGAAAACAGCTCGCAGCTGGAGTATTTGCCACACGCTTGAGAAGAAATAGAGAAGGAAGATGCCTACGACTTACAATACGGCCGTCCCCACTACCAATGTCAACTACAGAGCCTCTTCTGCCTTGTAACATTTTCAGGACGTTCTCAATCTGAGCTGAAGTTGCAGGAACAAAGGGCAGGCAGACTCTCCTCAGAGCCGGAGCCACAAAGGGGGTGACGACAGCATACAGCGCCACCAGGGTCCCACCAATGCCAGCCGTGATCCACAGCCCCCAGTGTCTTCTTCCAGAACCATTCTCAGAGCTTGCTGGCAAGGGGCTGTCTGCTGTCGGGACACCAGGCATCACACCTGAGAGCAGACACAACACCATAGCACATTTACCGACTGCTTCCTGAACAGAAAAAGCAATACACCACTGTATCAATAATGGTACAGCGTGTACAGGTACAATGAAGACACTAGGGGCAGGAAAACCTCTTATAACTCTTCAGTCGATTTCTAGGCGGTAAGTTTGTGTTTTTAGTAAGCCGAGGTGCTAGGCTGTCTTTCTGGGGAAAGAGTGAAGCAGCTAGTGTTTAAGCCCAAAGAGGCTGCAGAGCCTTCTTCTCTGGAGATAATCAAGACCGGCCTGGGATGCTTCCCCAAGCAACACATCGGAGGAAACCTGCTTTAGAAGGTGAGCCTACGAAGTCCCCTCCACCTCCTACAAGTCTGTAAAGCCGGGGTCCTACCCGGGGCAGGATAGCCCGAAAGAACGCACACACCGCTAACCGCCGCGCGCAGCACTACTTCTAGAGGAGGGCAATACCATCCCAACATGGCAGGGGAGGGAGCGCAGGAGCACCCTTCTCACTGCGATCTGGGGGGAGGGGAGAAAGCACCTTTCTGAACCCGCGGTGCGTCTGTCCTCACTCCCCTTCTTCACGTCACCCCGGCGCGGGCCGCTTAGGTCCTGTATTCCACCCAAGGATATCCCCTTTCCTTGCCCGCCCCCCTACGCTGTTGGGCAGGGCTATACAGCGCCGCGCTTCTACCGCAGCCTCAGACGCTTCCAGAACGCTCCAGCCCAGGCGCCACATAGCTCCCGCCGAGAAATAAGTCTCGGGGCGGCTCTCTGCGCAGGCGCGGCGCTGGGAGCGGGCGAGCGTGCTGACGTCACGACGCGGCGGGCGCGGCGGGATCCGGCTTGTGCTCGGGTGGGCGCTACTGCAGTCATGTCGGCCATGGGGACGCTGGCGTTTGATGAGTATGGGCGGCCCTTCCTCATCCTTAAGGACCAGGAGCGCAAAACGCGCCTCATGGGGCTCGAGGCTCTCAAGGTGAGCGGGCGGGCGGGCCCAGATCTGCCTGCAGAGGGAGACCTCACTGGGCCGTGCCGCCATGCCGCCGTTAGGCCGCGTACGGATTGGTCTGCCTTCAGGCACACGCGGCTGTCCGCATTGAGCTTACGGCCCTGAAGTTACCTTTGTATTACGGCTTGGGGCTGAGCAGCGACTTACCTGTTTTCTCCGTTGTTTTACAGTCTCACATCATGGCAGCAAAGGCTGTGGCAAGTACTCTGAGAACGTCCCTTGGGCCCAACGGTAACAATGAAATGAATATATTCATTCTTTTCTGCTGTTGTTTTCTGTGGGTTTCTAGCTTTTTTCACTCACTTTTTGAGTATTTTTTTTTTTTCAGGCTTGGATAAAATGATGGTGGACAAAGATGGTGAGGTGACAGTGACAAATGATGGAGCCACCATCCTGAACATGATGGATGTGGATCACCAGATAGCCAAGCTTATGGTGGAGCTGGCCAAATCTCAGGATGATGAGATTGGGGATGGAACCACTGGAGTCGTGGGTAAGAGCAGTTTATGCTTAATCATAAAACCACAGAATCAAACTCCAGAAGCCCTGCTGCAGGCAGGGCTGCCAGCCTCCACATGTAATAGTAGACCAGGCTGCCCAGGGACCCATCCAGCCTGGCCTTGAACACCTCCAGGGATGGGGCATCCACAACCTCTCTGGGCAGCCTGTTCCAGCACCTCACCACTCTCATAGTAAAGAACTTCCCCCTGATGTCCAACCTAAATCTTTCCTTAATGTGGGATTTCCAGTTATAAAATCATATTTTCAAGTGTATTTTAAGAAGGAAAGTAGCTTTCCCATAGTGCATTTTAGAATATTTACTTCTTCAGTACTCTTTTTGGTTTCTTTTAATTGGAAAGATGTTAGCATTTAGCATTTTAATTAGAAAGATGTTCTTGTGACTTTTATTTTTTTACTGTGGTTGCGTTTAAAATTAGTCTTGAAAGTCCTCCTATTTGTCTGAACTTATTTTCATGGTTTTCTTCCATAGTGATCACTATTGGCTTCTGTAGGTTTTTGGGGTTTTTTTTGTCTAAATAATGCAGTTTTCTTGGTGAACATGAGTTTGGTGGTACCATTCTTATTACCTAATAAACCTCAAACCATTAAAATACGGTAGAAGAAATCTTAAGGCATACTTTTGAGCTCTTGACTGTGTATCATGCCCCCATCTGTGGAAGAGTAAATGTCTGTTTTTGAATTCTGTTTTACAGTTCTGGCTGGAGCATTATTGGAACAGGCTGAACAATTACTAGATCGTGGTATTCACCCTATCAGAATAGCTGATGGTTATGAGCAGGCAGCTCGTATTGCTGTTGAGCATCTGGACAAAATCAGTGACAGCTTTCCAGTTGATCCACAGAACATCGAACCTCTGATCCAGACAGCAAAGACCACGCTAGGCTCTAAAGTGTAAGTTTGTAAAAGCTTAATGAAAGTGTGTATGTTTTCCATACATACTCTTTAGTTGAAAAAAGAAGTGTTTTGATGGATGATTACATTGTTGTTGTTATTGGAGAAGCTGCTGAAGGTTTTATTATATTTGCAGCAAATTTCTCAATGAATTCGTATTTCAGGATAAGAAATTGTGAACCCCTTATTCTCCAAGGGGCAATTTTGTGAAGTTAAACAGCTGCAAAATCATTTTCTTTCTACCCATTCTGTTCTGTATTACTATATCTTGATACTTAGAAACTTTGAGTCCTAACATCCAGTTATTTTTAGAAAGTTGTTGGTTTTTTGTGTTTTTTTATCTGAACAGACTCAGAAAAGTTCTGTATTCACAATTGCAATTTTCGTTACTGGTTCTCAATATATATATATATAAATTTAGACCCTAGGGCTGGAGATGCTTTCACTGTATATAATTTTTTTTTTTGCTATGCAGCATAGAACAAATAAGCATCAGTGTTATTTCTCAACTGTATTTCTTTGGCCAATTTTTGTCTGTTACTCTTTAGGGACCAGCTTTTTAAGATACCGTTGTGCGGTCAGTATGTAAAATCATAGGAAAGACATGAGAGAAAGTTAAAGACAGAAAAATATAGATGGCAGTGTGCCATTTTTAATTCCTTTGGGACAGAAGTTGTTGTGAAGTGCAGTTTATGATTATCATTGTAAAACCTTCCTTGGCAGGCCTGTCTTAACAGTGGCTTGTGTGACTTGAGTGTTTTGAGTAGTATTTAATTCTCCTCACTTGTTTCCTATTGATGTCTTGAGACTATGTTCACAAAGGGTGTGTAGACAAACAATACAATTTTTTTCTGTCACATTTAGCATGTTCATATTCCTGTGCATCAGTGAGCTGGATGCCTTCTCTTCATGCAGCAAACGAAATATGTTAGCTATATATACATATTCTTTTTCTTTTCAAAATTGATAGAATCAGTTTCTTCTGAATGTTCAGATATAACACAGCTTCATTGTATTTTCTTTAAATTTAGAGTCAACCGTTGTCACAGACAAATGGCAGAAATTGCTGTGAATGCTGTACTGACAGTAGCAGATATGGAACGTAAGGATGTTGATTTTGAACTGATCAAAGTACAGGGCAAAGTGGGAGGCAGACTGGAAGATACGCAGCTAATAAAGGGAGTGATTGTGGATAAAGATTTCAGTCATCCACAGATGCCTAAGGTGAGTGAATCCTGTGTCAGCATCTCATCTGTAACAGTTTAAATAGCATTTAATGAGTAGCATTTAGGTTGCACTGATGTTTATCCTGTGGAAAGGAAAGCTAGAGGAAAATACCAGTCACACAGTCTGAACTGTCTGTGAAAGTGAGTGAGTAGTATTTTCAATCTCCATTGTGGATAGGAAGCTTTCTTCTTTTTTAAACATCTAGTATTTAAAATAAATGAGTGAAGACTGGTGAGTGCTTAAACACTTGTATTTTGACGCTGTGCAGTTTCTTTCAAGTGAACTTTCTGAGAAAATTGTTTGAGTATAACACTTCAGAATCATTTAAATGATCACCAAGGATCCTACAGTCTCTACTTTTTTAAAAGGAATGTCTGCATTGTGAAAATATAAGAAGGAGGTGTGACTGTCATCAAACTCTCAACTTTTTATTTTTGTACAGGAACTTAAAGATGCTAAAATTGCAATCCTGACTTGCCCGTTTGAACCACCAAAGCCTAAAACCAAGCATAAGCTTGATGTCACATCTGTAGACGATTACAAGGCACTGCAGAAATACGAGAAAGAGAAGTTTGAAGAGATGGTGAAACAGGTAGAGTCTTCAGAATTACGTTTCTGTATTTTTTTCTTATCCTTTACACCAAGTAACAGTGCAACCATTTATTTCTACAGATAAGCTAATAATCCAGATAAGAGACAACATGTAGACAGTTCTAAGTGTATGAATGAAAGTGAAGTTTATCTAAGTAATAGATAACACTCTAGTTTGAAATTTACTTTCATTTCATTATGTGCAGATAAATGTGTCTCTTTCAGACTGCTGTTTTGAAAAAAAGTAGAACTAAAACAACTAAGAGATTTGTTCATGAAATTCTTCATTTTTGTGTTGGTGCTGATGATTGTCATTATGTGCTGCTTTCAGATAAAAGACACTGGTGCAAACCTTGCTATTTGCCAGTGGGGTTTTGATGATGAGGCAAACCACTTGCTGCTTCAGAATGAGCTGCCTGCTGTTCGTTGGGTTGGTGGACCTGAAATAGAAGTAAGTAAAATCTTCTCAAACTGGGATTTTTACCAGATCTCAAACCTTTGTTGAGTAGTCTGCTGTACAAGTGAGAAGTTTAGGCTTTCTGAGTAGAATTACACTATCATTATGTAGTACTGGCAGATGCTGAAGCAAAATCACTGGGAATCTGTACGTGGAAAGAAGCTGTAGTTAATGGGATTGTGGTGTGTACTGGATTCCATGCGTAATTCTCCTTACAGGTTTTATGTGGCTAGGAGCGGTTTTGCTTTCTGTCTTGTTTTAGAATCAAGATGGGAAAGTAACTTCTTTGGAGATATTTGACAGGTTCACTTCTTCTAGCTTTACTTTATTAAAAATCATTGTGGAAAAGTTTTCTCAAAATAACTGATTGTTTAATTCCAGTTAATCGCCATTGCAACTGGAGGACGCATCGTTCCTCGTTTCTGTGAGCTCACACCAGAGAAACTGGGTTTTGCTGGTATTGTCAGAGAAATCTCCTTTGGCACAACAAAGGACAGAATGCTTGTCATTGAACAGTGCCAGAATTCTAGAGCTGTGACCATTTTCATCAGAGGAGGAAATAAGATGGTAAGATCCTTGGTTTGTGTCCTGGTTTTGGGTGGGATAGTTAATTTTCCTCCTAGTGGCTGGTATGGTGATAGGTTTTGGATTTAGGGAAATAGTACTGATATGTGTTATCAGATGTTCTCATTGTTGCTGTGTGGTTCTGG